CAGCAGCAGCAGCAGCAGCTGGGGGCCCCACTCTGGGGTTCCCCCTCACCGCCGTGTTCAGCGCTTTCCACATCTGCTGCTGCTACGCTGGAGGACAAATAAATGGAAATAAAAATTGAAAATAAATAAAATATTTATTTATTTATTTATTTATTTTATTTTGTTTTAACAAGACAGACTCGGGGGGCCCCAAATGCGGGGCCCCCAGCGCTCGCGGCGTCGGCAGCAGCAGCTGTGGGCCCCTGTTCTGTTGTTGCTGCTGCTGCTGCAGTTGTTCTGGCTGTTTACCTCAATCTCAATTAATTAAATAATTCATTATTTGTTTTTGATTTATTTATCTGTTTTTTATTCTGTTTCAAGACACGAGAAAACCCGCAGCAGCAGCAGCAGCAGACGCAGCAGCAGCAGCAGCTCGGCCCGCAGGGCCCCCACGAAGAAGCCTTCGAGACACACGCGGCGATCCGCTGCTGCTGCTGCTGCTGCTGCTGCAGCTACCTTTGCATTTGCTGCAGCAGCTGCTGTTTTTGCTGCTGCGCCCCTCGTCCCCACTCAAATCGTAGCAAGGCGCCACACACCCCCCAAACCCTAGACCCTAAACCCTAAACCCTTCCCCAAACCCCAACTGCAGCGCCATGGCTCGACAGCAGGGGCCCCCCCACAGTGAAGACACCCCAGGGGGGCCCCACACCGAGGGGGCCCCCCTGGGGGGCCCCTGGGGGCACCCCACGGAGAGGCCCCCTCCTGGGGGCCCCTGGGGGGCCTCCCCTGAAGGGGCCCCCCCGGGGGGCCCCTGGAGGGCCCCCAGAGAGGCAGGGCCCCCGGGGGGCCCCTGGGGGGGACCCAGGGACGGGGTGCCCCTGGGGGGCCCCTGGGGGGCCCCCCGGAAGCAGCAAAAAGACGCAGGGGTACAGACTTTAGTACCCGCTCGAGAATATATGGGCCCCAGAGATAGGGCCTCTCAATCTCCGGAGTTTTTGAAAGAAGGATGGCTGCATCGGTGAAAAATGTGCTGCTGCTGCTGCTGCTGCTGCTGGCGGCGCTG